CCAAAAAGGAAATGTTGCCACATAAAATGGGACGGAGGGAGTAATTAATATTGAGTGTAAAATAGAAAAGTAATTATCTTTTCTTGTTATGGTAGAAGTGACAATTAAAAATCTACCTTTAGCTAGCGTTTGACCCAAAATTCTCAAATATTCTAGGCAAATCATATTTGGGTGAAGTTTCACCATGTTTTTATTGGCCCCAAATTTGTTCAAGAATATTTGACTAATTTAAAAAATATGATTTATACTCATAAGATGTAAAATTTATTAAAAATATCCATAAATTTGTACTATCATTTTATAATAAATATATTATGTTAAAAATAACCTTATAATATAATTGATAACAATCAACAACAACAAAATAAAAGTATGGACAAGAGCAATACATTAATCGCATACTCAAACTTGTCACTGATTCAATTATAATTATAACTCATTTAAAATAAATTGTTCTTTTTTCTCAATTGTCACTCAAATTAGAACTCGAACTTTTTTGGAGGAGGTAGTAACAAATATTAGTTGGAATCAATAAATGACGGGTATTTTTTATAAAATATAAAAGTTTGGAGTAATTTTTAAAATTCTCAAATATTAAACTTGACCGAAATACTAGTTTTTTTTTAAGTATTTTGGGAACTGAGGATTCTTGGCAAATAAATTTGCCAAATTATATGGCCAAACACCGCTTCCCAAGTTTTTCTCAATTTTTCTTGGGACCAAACAGGTCTTTAGATTAGTGAACAAGTAAATGAAAACGGAGGGGATACAGAAATAACTTAACCGTGCATAACCCTAAATAGCAACAAACCAACCCCTTAGTGCATGTAATTTAACCTATGGTAAAAGTTGGGGCGACTCAATACTTTTTGAGGAACTAAAGTCGCGTTTCAATGAGAGGCCTTAGTTATTTTTTTTGTAAAAACATTCATATATATATTTCACTTGAAGTTTACTTTTTAAAATCTAAGAGCTTCTTTTTTTGTAATAAAGATTAATTTTTCTCTTTCTTTTTTCAATAATCGGATTCATATTTTCTAATTATTGACATATTTTGTATTCTAATAGATAATTTAAGATAATATATGTATATATACATAGTAAATAGGGAAAATTATATATAATATCAAACTATAAATTCAAATTAAATGTTATAATCATAGTTTGATTTAATTGTACCCCATAGCAAACTGTTGCTAATTTGCTATTTCTCCTATTGAATCTTGCTCGCCACTCTCGTTCTCGCTGGGCAGTCTCCCTCGACTCTCTCACTTTTATACAAACACAAATGTATAAAATGTGTTTGTATTTGTATAAAGCGAGAGAAAATTGTATATATACATATATTTTCGTTCCCCTCTCTCAGATCTCGCTCGCCACTCTCACTCACCTCCCTTACTTTATACAAACACAAATGTATACATTGCGTTTGTATTTGTATAAAGCGAGAGAAAATTGTATATACAAATACAAATGTATATATTTTCGTCCTATACACTTATGATTATACAAATACGATCTTCCTCTACCCAGTTTTCTTTTGTATTCCTCTCTTTCTAACTTTATACAAACACATATTATACAATTGATCTTTTGTATATGTATACTGAAATAAATTATACAATTGCTTTCTTTTGTATATATATAGCGAAATATACATATTTATGATTGCTATGAAGCGCAATTATGCAAACTATAGCTATAACATACTAATATGATTTTTGTGTTTGCTATATGTGAAAGTTGCTCTAGCAAATATCTAGCCTAACAAGTCATAGACGCAAACAATACTAAAAAGAGTGAAAAAATAATGTCTGATTCAAAAAGTAGATAATTTGATTTGAGAATACTTGTTTGATGCTTCAATATACTTTTTAAAATATTTGGTGTCCGAGAAAAAACAAATATAGCAAATTTCTACACTGTAGCAGTGTAGCTCGTCTTTAAGAACAATTAAGTCGACCAATCTCTTATAGAAACAAGAAGAAATATAAAAGCGTAAAAGTATTGTTAAAGAATGACAAAAGTTCCACATCGGTGGTTAATGAGATGGGTGGACTCCTTATAAGGCTTGGGCAATCCTCCTCCTTTTGAGCTAGCTTTTGGAGTGTGAATTAGACCTAAGACTTAATTTAACAAGTATACTAAAGACTTAGAACCTGTTTGACATTGTTGTTAGGGTGTAAAAGCATTTATTTTGAGAAAAAAACATTTTTTTTTAAAAAAGAATAGGTGGTTTGGCAGACCTGTAAAAGTGCTTTTAAATAGAAACAAAAGCAGTTTTTCTGCAATTGGGAAAAAACTAAAAATTTATGTTTCTTAAAAAAAACAAAGGAGAAATATTTTTTTCAAGTCTAAAATGTTTATCTCTCTCTCTCTCTATTTTATTTATTATTTTACAAAATTAGAAACAAAGAAAAAGGTAACAACAATATTTTTGTAAGATTAGGAAAGAATTAAAAAAATAAAAAACAATTAAAGATTTCTACCCTTAAAAAAAAATGTATAATATTGATTGAAAATTTGAATATGAACATTTTAATTTATTTTTTTGTAATAGATGTTTAAAGTAGTTTCTCTCTATAAAACAATCTTAATATTTGCCTTAATCGTAATTTGACTCTCATAAGCACTTTTTAAAATAAATTACAAAAACACTTTTCTGAAAAGCTATTTTGAAAAAGTTATTTTAAAAATGTGTTTTTGAAAATAAGCCGTTTTTAATCGCAATACCAATGGGCTCTTATAGAGAGAACCATTAAAAGTAGATTGAGTATATTTTAGAGAAACCAATGCAAGATTGTTAGGTCTTTTTCCGGTGAATTAGTTAACTATATTCTTTTGACGATAAAAAAAATACTCAAAGTACTTCATAATTTTCCACGCAAAAAAAAAAATTATTGATCAATTGTGGGACTCAAAAAATTAAGGTACCCTTTTACACTATCCATATATAGAAGTTAGATCCTACTACTAAAAAGAGAAGAAAAAAAAAAAGATAGATCACCTGTTATAAGAGGTTAAAATTTTAGTTACATTAATTATTAAATATTTTACATTGCCGAAATATATATGTTAAATCCAATGGAAATGGCACAAAAAATGGAGAAAGTTCAAATTTTCAGTTATTTGATCATTTTTTAACCATAAGTATATGTATGTGGAAGAATGCTTTTTGATAGTAGTATTATAGTGAAAAAATGGAGTATTACTTTAGTACTATAAGAGAAATGGAGTAAGTTCTTCTGAGAAAAGTGAACAAAATTGGGATAAATAAACACAGAAAGAAGAACAGTTCACTTGAAACAGAAAGAGTATTGTGACAAAGTATGAACCTTGGCATCTTTAATTTTTTAAATAATCTCTATCTGGTTCTGCTGGTGCAGCAGAGTTCCAGGTTCTTACAACTATATATATAATGCAACATAAGACATTGAAAATTGTAATTAATTTAGGCATTTATATTGCTAGCATTTAGTAATATGAAAAACAGTAAAAGTAGAAGAAGTCTTTTAAATTTTTTGATAGGATGATGTGCACATGCAAGTTAGTGCCCTCTTATTATCATTCCAGTTATAGTTTTCTGGGGTATTGTTGGTGCCTTCACACTTAGGGGTGAATGTACTATTGTTGGTGCCGATTTAGTTGAACTCATAACTTTCAACGCAGAACATTAATTTATGTGCGCTAGCTCTCAATACGACCTAAATCAGCTCTTAATATGTCTGTGGAATGGACTATAAATCAACCCTACTATCTATACTCATCTAAAGCTGGGAAGAAAAAGAAAATCAGAAAAAGGCCAACTTAAAGAAAAAATAAAGGAATAAAAACTTGTTTAACAGTCCTATGACAAGAATGTGCCTTTGACCAGACAAATAGGCTTTCTAGGTTAGATATCACAATACTAAATTATTGGAGTATAATAGATTGAATTAATATCCAATCTTGATCAGTTTTGTCATTTGGGCCAAGTTAATTAAAATTATGAAATACAATAGCTAGGGTTAGTATGATGTAAGCAATTGTTGAACTTAGTTATCAGAGAGTGGCAGATTTGTATTAATCTCATTAATAAGTTTCAGTAGTATTAATATGCAATTAACTTGACCTCTTTTCTTGGCTGATACATACAAGGCTTACAACTGTAGGAGAAGAGAACATTGTGACTGTTAGACTGCACCAGTTCTTCCAGGGTTAAGTTATCACTCAACTCAAAATTTTCCTTAAGCTGGGTTTTATATATACTTAATTATGGTTTATTATATTTTCTTTGTCAAGATGGAAAATTACTGGTCCTCCACCTAAAATAATTTCTATTAAGCTAAAGTTCAACATAATTTTGCCCCATGTCTTTGGAATACAGAAAACTTACAAATGATGTGTCTGGGTTAAGGAATCTCACCATGGATTTGTAGAAAAATGGATCTGTGCCCAAAATCTAGTTCATATAAGGAGACTACCCATCCTTTTTAAAATTCCACGGGGACTCTTCAACTCCCCACTTCACATCTGGTGCGTGAGCAATTAAATCTAGGGGGGGCATCATTGGTAAACATTAAACTGAACAGGTCTAATACCATGCCCAAGTCCATATAAGTAGACCTATCCTTTTTTTCCCAATGGGATGTCTTCAACACCCACCTCATGCCCAAGGCTGAACACCTGGTGAATGGACAATTTAATCTCGGGCCCATCATCGGTAAATATTAATTGGGATGAGTCATACTCTGATACCATGTAAAAAAAATAACTCTTAGATCTAACTAAACCCCAAAAGATATATCATCAAGGAAGGACTACCCAAGCCGGAGATCAACCATCCTTTTTCATAGCTCTTCAACATTCAACTTAGGAGAAAATTAGACTTGGAAATGATTTCAGTTTCAATGGACTACCTGTTATTTCCCCAGATCGAATTCCAGGTAACGTTCTCTCTAGTTGCTTTTTAACTTCAATGAGTTGTTATTTTGCTTGTAATTATACAGTCGATTAAAAACTTGTAAAACTTTTGGTGTACTGGTTGATACATATATTATAGATATAAAGTTGAGTTACAAAAACAAAGTTTATAAGTACACAAAAACTTAAGAGAGAAATCGGAAAAACAAAAACACATAAAGGGCACTATATAGTAGTACCGAACCTAGAAAATTAAACAGGAAGGAAATTTTGCTTAATTAGCTTACGCTGTTCCCTTCAGATTTGGCTTCCGTGATATGAATCCCATGCTTTCTGAACTGTAAATTAATTAAAGAGAATTGAAGTTATATATCGGAATGACAATTAAATTGTGTAATAAAGTAGAACAATGTTAATAGTTTAGTTTTACCTTGCGGTGATGAGGTACAACAAATGGTAGATGCATCCATGATTGTTTGATTAACGTCGTCATGATTCCAATTTCTTGTTGAATTATTGTAATGTGAAGCTGTAGCCTCTCTATTCGGAGCAATTTGGTTCCAAATTTTCTTAATAGTTCTTTCCCTAGCTCTTGCTCTAGCCTTTGCCCTTGAATCTCTCTCTTGCTTTGCTTTTTTTGTTAATTCATCCACTGCAGCAAGAGGAACAATCATATCCTCATCACATTCCGAATTGTTATTAATAGATGAAGGAGTATCAAGAATACTCTTCTTTGACACATCATTTATGAGATCTTCAATGGCTAATTTAGACTTGGTAAATAGCCAATCAAGGGTTTTACTTGGTTTATCGTAACCAAGCATGTCTTGCAGATCAAAGAACTTACGAGCAACCCCTAACGACAACCTCACCCTCCGATCCCTATTCCCTTGTGATGTCAAAATCTTACTGTGCCGATCCTTTTTCACTGGTTTTTTACTCTTGTTGATGACCAAATTGTTAGTTGCATACGAGTAGTCGATTAAGTGACCATTTGAGGCTCCTAAGTAATGATGATGAGTAGGAAGGTCATGTTGATGTAGAAGTATTTGGTTGCTAAGAAAAGATGAGTGAAGAAGAGGATTCCCATTACTACTGTTTCCAAAAGGGAACATTTTTTTTCTTCTTTTATTGTTGAAGAACAAGTTTACAGCTGAAAGAAAGCACTAAATACTAACTAGTAGTACAGCATTATATTGGCCTTTGCCCTTTCACAAGCTTGATGGGAGCCTTTCGAAAAAATACTGTTACAAAGAAAGCGATCAAGGAAAGAATTTGAAGGGCTAGCTGAGAAAATGTGTAGTACTGGAAACAAATTAATTTTAGCCCTCATCCACTTTAAGACATGGAAAGTGATGGAAATCCTAAAAATTGACAGTGGCCACTGATGAAGAGCCAAAGGCAAAACATTTATGGACAAACAGAAGATATTAATTTGATGGAACCCAACAAAAGCTTGGGGATACAAGACCATATTGTTGCTTTCGTCTCAATTTATGTGATGCACTTTTTTTTTTGTCTGTTTCAAAGTAAATTCTATTTTTTATTTTATCTTAACAAGATAATTTATAACTTTAAAGTTGTATTTGAAATTTTAAAAACACACAAAAATCTTAACTTTTTAAATTTATTTTGTTTTTGGAAAATTCTATATATATTTTTAGATAATAATTGCATTTAAATTATATTTCATGTTCAAATATTAAAAATATATTTAAATTCTAAGTATTAACTGCAAAAACTTTGATCAAACTCCAAATCAAACTAGAAGATTTCAATTATTTTTTTAAATTTTCATGATCAAATGTCTACTATATAGGCATAAAAGTATGAGTAAATTTTAGATTTAGCAAACATAAAAATTATATTTGTATGTTATAGCTATAATTTATATAATTGGGCTCCATAGCAAACTTTATGTTTGTTATGGCTATTAATCTATATATTTCAGTATACATATACATAAAAAAATATATGTATTTGGGTGGGTTTATTTGTATATTTCCGTATACAAATGGGTCATGAATTTGTATATTTTGGTATACAAATAGGTCCTGCATTTGTATATTTCGGTATACAATTGGGTCCTACATTTGTATATTTGGATCTATTTATATATTTCGGTATACAAATGGAATGACAAAAAACATGAAATGTTTGTGCAAATTACAAATAAAAGAAACTATGGCTATAACATTTAATTTGAATTAATAATTTGCTATTTTATACAATTTTCTTTAAAAGTATATCACTTAAAATGAGATGCAGATGAAGGTGTGGGGAGGGTTAAAAGGGCAGTAGCTATATATAGGGTATACGTTTAAGTTTTAAGGCGGTGAGCTTTTTATATTTGGAGTGTGTGAATAAATTGTGGATAGGTACTCGTACTTTTGTCTGTCATCCTAAGCAAGCCGACAAATATATCACAGTTTCTTTTTAGTAGTGTGGTTCCGTCAGAGTTCATTCAATTTACCATCAACCAAACCCTAATTTTATACATCTTCCTCAACAGTAAACCTAAAATACTTTTAAAAAATTAGGAATTCCTCTCTTAAGATTCTAACCTCTCCTAGATCCTAGTACCGTTAAATATTGAACTAAGTAAATAAAATTGTAATGTTTTATTTAATTGGCGTAACTAGGCTAATTTTGTGTTTTCGCTACACATATCCACTTTTGTCCGTACGAGTTCAATTAATTATTTTTAAAAAATGTATAGTTAGGTCAGAAATAACTATATGTTACTGTGCATAAAAGGTGAAACTAACAACTTAAAAGTAAAAAATGTCAGTATACCTGCAATAAGAGGTTAAAATACATGTACTAGGGATTTATTTGGTTAGGACGATAAGTGCATTATAATAGAGATTTTACATTCTCAATCACTCTTGCTTCAACCTTATTGCCAAAAACGGGTTGTGTTTTGTCTGAATCACTCTTGTTCAACCTTATTATACCCAAATTGTAGTTGTGTTTGGAACTCAAATCGTGCTTAGATTACAAATTTAGAACATTTCAGTGGTGAAAATCATATTTGAAAGGCAATATATATAACCTCACCTTATTATTGAACCAGTTTGAAGAAGTCGGCCTGAATATTTAATATGTTTTTTGTTAGAGAATTTGGAATGGATTATGGATGGTGTTGTCACAGCAACAAAAGAGACATTTAGTATTAATAGATTTTTCTTTGGGTGGCCGGCAATATTTATTATCACTAGTAAATGTCATTAGATTTAGACTTTAAAATCGCTAAAGTCTCTAAGAACATTTATATAGAGTATTGATTATTAATATCATATTATTATTGCTGCTAAATATATAAATATAGTGACAATTATATTATTATCGCTCAATCATTACTGCAAAATTAAGTATTTGTTGTAGTGTGTTTAAGACACGCAAAAAATTATAATCTAAAAGTATTTTGTCTATATAATTAAATTTAAAGTCATTTTATGAAGCCTTGGACCGATTTCGAACAATAATAGCATATGAAAAGTTCGCTTTTATAGCTAGCAAACATGTTATACACTTTTATTCAAGATTTTATACATGATTGTACACTTTTATATAATGTGGATATATTGTATATACTTTTAAGGTGCATACTATTATTATATAATATAAATTTATAAAGAGATGTATACGACACTGTTGAGAAAAAAAATTGATTGTCCAAACTTAAAAATATGGCTATGTGGATGTAAATAGTTGTGTAGGCCAGCTGTATTTTATCCACATTATAATCCCACGATAAATATGTGCAAATATTTTGTCTCACGTTTGATCATTTTTTAATTAATAATGTAGAGATCAATTACATCACAATTATGATATTATTTTTAATACACAATCTATGTGGTATTTTATATAGTTACTAGTCTCGATACAAAGTAGCAAAATGACATATTCGCCCTTCTCCTGAGTTTCTCTCTCAAATTCTAGTTCTAGTTTAAATCAAAGACATGTGTTATATGAAAAATGTAGAATATATAGTATGTAGTTTTGGCTTACAATTTTTTTAATAATATAGCAGTTATCACCATATCTTATCAAGCAAAACAAATTGGATAATAATATTAATTTTTTCTCAATGTTCTATTATTTTGATTTTTTTTTTTTGTTTAAAATCAATAAATTAATAAATAAAATGTCAAGTTTGGCCTCGAGGGTTAGCCTAGCAAGCCTCATTAGCCGGGGTTGACGACTCCAAATATACACCGTAGTATAAATTTCTTTTTTATAATATCATGTTATATCTTGACTATTTGTTTCAAATATATATAATTAACTTGTACTATTCAAGATTACACTTTCCATTCTTTTACACAAAATTGGTTCCAGATATCTTTTGTATGCCCTAATAGAACTAAAACATTTTCTTTTCATCTGTGTATGCATCTCGAGCACATCTAAGTGAAAAATAGAAAAAGAAAATGTTTGAATTTCAATTGAATATCTTTTTCTCTATTGCAAATATAAGCCAAGTTGAATTGACAAAAAATAAATTAAGTATTAGAAGAATTCAAATCCATAATTTCACTACAAAACAAGGCTCGAGCATAAGTCATTGTTGAAGCAATCCTTCTTTCTCATTCTCCGTGTGTGCCTCCTATGCTAGATGCTAGAAATAGAGGCGTAATCATTGTTAATCATAAATTATATATGAAGAAAATGCAATTTGTACAATCATCTTTTGTCCATTTCAACAAAAATAAAGGGGATTTAATTGTATTTGGAATTAGTACGTACCTACTAGTTAATTAATTTATAAATTTCATGCTTGGGAGCAGCTGGGGTCTTTGTAGTTGTATGGTTTCGAAAAAGTTGTGGAACAATCAACCATTGTGTTTCTTTCTTATCATAAAATAGGAAAAGTATACATACTATCCTCCGGAGCTCCTTATTACTGTTATAATTATGGTATTATATAATATTATTATTATAAGAGAGGGGTCCTTCAATCATTGTCAAACAAATATATACATACAGAAAGTCCAACTCTATCGCTATCGTACACTTTTCTTCATGTGTAAATGTCTGTGCACGCTTTTTTATTTTTCCCGTTATAACATCTAAAATATTACTAGTAATTTCTATACTAAATAAATAATCAAATTGATACACATGTGTGATTTTGTTACAATCCTTAAAGTAATAAGGATTTTCACTTTAAGCACATGATTTTGTTTGTGTTTTTTATAGGACATGTTCGTTCTTGTTCTTTAATTTATCCTTGTTGATTTACTTCTTGATATTGAATTTTATTAGTGGTAAAGTCAGTCTCCAATCATCAATTGTAGAGGGGAGAATATATAGCACATGGAGAGGAGGTAACTTTTTGGTCAATACTTTTATTATTTTGAATTTTTTGAAGTTCATGTACAATTTATTCCAAAATCAAATAGTAGTAATGCTTTTTGGTGAAAATGACATTAATAGTAGCATATTATTAATAGTGATGTCATTTCACCTCACCGATGTGTAGTCATGAATAGCCTTTCTGTCAGATTTGTCTAATTATGATAGGAATATTATACAATACTATTTGGAAAAGGCAAAAAATACTTTTGATGTTCTTCATTCATTTTTTGATTTAAATATATTCCAATCTTTTTTTTTTCTCAAGAATCCCCTCAAAATAATTAACTACCCAAACTTCAACTCGATGATTTTTTTGCAATTTAAAATAACTATGTGATTTAGTATGATCTGGAAATTGCAATTCAATGTCATTGTCCCCATGGAATAACTAGGAGCACTTTTGATTCTTTTTTTTTCTCTTTAATTCTTTGTTTAGAATTAGCACTGCTGTTATGGACTATCTCATCAATTGATTCTTATGGAAGCAATATATGTCAATCGAATAATTATTATGCTATATTTAAGATCGATTATAAGTTTCAAATTTTAAAAAAAAAAATTACAATAACAATAAGTCAATAACATATCTTGTGGTCTGGAAAGAGCAGAGTGTATGTACGCAGATCTTTCCGTTACCTCGAAGAGGTAGAGAGGTTGTTTTCGAAAGATCTTTGGTTCAAGTGCATAACCCAAGTAAAAGAAGAGGAATGAAGAAACCATAGCAGTTAATTTATATTTTAAAAAAAGGCATTGTAAAGTCTAGAGACTACAAGAAAGAAATAACAACAATACAATAGTGTGATAATC